GTTCTGGCCTGTCATGGAGCCGTCCATCTCTCACTGGGCAGCTGCTCCCTGTCCCTGGTCCCCGAGCCGCTCTCTTCGTGACTGGATTCCTGGGGCAACATTCTAAGTGGCACGGTCATGAAGGGGCGGGCGGCACGCCAGTCTCCGGAGCCCGGCCAGTGTTTGCCTGTGAGGGATGAACCTGTACCCGGGCCACAGCTGGTCTGTTTGTAGCAGTTTTTACTAAAAAGTTGGAATTCGACTCAACTGACAACCCCGTGGAGCAGAGTTCGGCACTGACACGCGGGGAGCCACGGCCACGGGCTCCTTGCTGGCAGGTCCAGCTCAGGCACATGTACCCAGGAGGCCTAGCACCCACGGGTGCTCCCTCAGGAGGCAGCAATGTGCTGCACTGTGCCCCTTCCTCACACTGGGCACACGAGGCAGTGTGACACAGGACTGAAGGTCAGCAATACCAACGTGGTGTTGACAGATTTCTGGGAACAAAGAATACATACCTGCAGGCTTGTTTTATCATCTGGGGTTCTTGACACAAATTATTTACCCTCTGCCCCTCTCCCTGACTCTAAACATCTATAAAAGGGGAGCATGACACCTGAGTTTTATTCCGGTCTATCTACACAAGGGCAGCAGAGGAATACCTGCTAAGGTCAAAAAGCCAGCCTGTCCCGGCCCTCCCCGCACCCCCGCACCCCTAACTTGTCCATCCACTTCCCTTTCTGGCCCGTACAGGTGAGAGCAGTGTTCTTTATAAGGCTTTATTGTCTGTGGAAACCTCCTGAACATGCGCTGTACCACGCAACATTTCCCACTGTTTGGTTTTCTTCTCTTAGATTTGAAAATTGCCTTCCTTGCAAATTATCTTTCAGCAAATGTAGTTATAGCTTTAAGGGGGCTAATTCAGTCCCCGCCCCTGTGGAATAATTCTATTTACTTCAAAACAACAGCTCCGCACTCACAGCCAACACAAAGGCTGCGTGTTCTTCAACGATGCACCACCTGAGACCAGCTTGTTCGTAACAGAACCTCTCCCTGTGTCTGTCAGTGCTGTCTCATCTGCAAAGTCACCGTCTCGTAAGTCAGACCGGTCACAGGGTGCTCAGAGACCGCACCCCCATCCTTACTGCACTCAAAAGAACGACACAAGACATGCAGAGAGCAGATTCACAAACAGGGGTTTTCTTGACCCAGTTAAATTTTTTATTTAGTGAAAAAAGGTGACATTGAGACCCAAAAAAATCATCTTAAATTTTGCAACAATATAGTAAAATCTTCAGCAGAAATCAGTGATTTGGAAACTTATCAAGGCAATCAAAATTAAAAATACCTAATTTCACTTTGGAGAGAAGTATACAGTGATTCAATTTAAACGAGAGCAGAGTAGGCCTGTGTTTTGTGGCAAAGACTTTCGAATTTGCCTCGTTTCTAATAATTCCTAACAAGTCTTCCGATGAGAAGTGACATGGAATATCTGAGAAAAATGGTCCACGTCAGCACTTACGCAGCTTCCGCTTGCGCCATTACACATGAAACTAACACAGTACCACTCTCGGGTCCTTGGCTGTGATGATTCAATTCGGAATATGGCTGCTCATTGTTAGTAGTGGGCAGAAGCATATGTACAACTCATCCCCCCCTCAAGTCGTGGCCAGCGGTGGATCCGCTTCTGAGTAACACGCAGTGTGTGTGTGTCCCCAACGACACAACCCTCTTGCTAGCTATTCCACATCTCAGTCTTGCATAGAAAGTAGTCTATATAAACGTAATGCACTGGCTTTTATTACACAAAAAATTGAACCTGAAAGGCAGCACACACTGCATTTAAGAAAGATAACATCATGGGAAAGCCAAGACACAATCCCAGCGTAAGTGAGGAAGTGAAGTTCTGTGGGTTGAAAGTCAATTCCTAACAGCAACATGGGCATGGTGTCCAGTTTAGTTATAGCCGCCGTCTCCCCGTCAGGGATCCCCATGTCTCTACCAACGCAAGAGAAACAGGTTCTTGGGCTTTCCTCCCCACCCCTTCCTGCAAGTGACTGAGCAAAGCTGGCAGGAAGAATGGCAGGCCCTCCCCTCCCTTGAGGAGGTTCTAGACACACAATCTTACGACCTGGGGTGACTGCTGAGTGGATCTGCAGGCAGGCCTCCCCAAAGGCTAAGCAGGTGTTTATCTCTACAGGCCGCACCAAACCATCCCCAGTCGTCCTCAAAATGACTGTTGCTTTGAGGAGAAGCTACAGTACTAAATTGTTCAGCAGATCTTAGCTTACGGGCCACACATGCTGGGCAGGGAGAAAGTGAACCTTTTAGGTTCTACGGCTGTTCCATCCAAACACCCGTACCTGATGCTACCAGAGATGGAACCCGGCCCCAGAAACCATCCCCTGTCCCAAGTGGCAATGCTTCAACTTGTTACCCAGCATCAGAACGGATTCCCCAGCTTGCCAGGGCGGCTGGTCGCTGCAGGC